GATTATGACTGAGTGTTTGTATACATTTACTCATTTTTGCGGAAGAAGGCTCATTTATGAACCTTTTTGGTTTGATATTGGAATCTGAAAATTGGCAGTGACGTTTTCGTTTCCGAAGGTTGGCTATCCTTTTGGGCCCTACAAGTTCCACATTTCGACATGTCCGTTCTTTTCCAAATGGTGGTCTGACCACCAACCGATACCCTTCGCTAAAACTTGTTTTATTTTTCTTTCAAGTTTTTTTTAGGTTTTTTATCATGTTCAGATACTGCAATTGTACATTCAATTTTCATCTCTTGATTAGACCCTGCCTAGGTAATACTCACAGCGTTCAAGGGAGGAGGAGGGTCCGAAGGCTAGGCCGTAAGAGAGAGGTACGGTAATGGAGATGTTGCATGTGTGAGGAACTTGCGATTTGACTGTTGATTCTTCTGTAAAAGTTCGCGAGAAACACGATGGTGACACTGGTTTTCTCTGAAATCAACTCTCAAGCTCCAAAAAAAGCTCTCGAGTTGAGGCCAAAATGGAGGGGATATCCCACCCTACCCTGAGAGTCCACCTCTACATCAAAACAAACTCTCCATGCAAAGATAGGGAGCAAATACATTAGCAGTGTTGCCGTGTTTTCATTTTAGAGTCCCCAAATGAAGTGGCAGCCCTGTCAATGTATTTGCTCCCTATCTTTGCATGGAGAGTATGTTTTGATGTAGAGGTGGACTCTCAGGGTAGGGTGGGATATCCCCTCCATTTTGGCCTCAACTTGAGAGCTTTTTTTGAGCTTGGGAGTTGATTTCAGAGAAAACCAGTGGTACCTTCGTATTTCTAGCGAACTTTTACATAAGAATCAACAGTTAAATCGCAAATTCCTCACACATGCAACATCTCCATTGGAGTTGGCCAATCGCCCGGGGATGGAAGGGGCAAGGTATCTCCTGTAGTTCCGGCACTGGACTAAAATCCTCCGGTTAAATTTGGGATTGACTAAAAAATTTAGACAAACCTCAATCTGACCAAAACCGCTCGCCCGTGTGGAACTGAGCTTGAATTCGAATTAGCATCTTGCCCATTCTTTTCAGTTCCAAAAGGAACCTCAATTTCTTACACAGAGGCTCGCGAGTAAGAGCTTAAGTCCCTGGGAGTCTGCGGATCTCAATAAGCTTAGATCTCCTCCTCATTATCTATGATTTCTAATCGAGTAGATCGAGCAGAAGAGGAACTTTCGCTTTCGAATCACATCACAACAAAGGTGATATTGCGCGATGATTTATTTGCCGAATGTTACGTGGGCTCCTCGATCGAGAGTGGTGATGTAAGTTTCAAGTGCTTTAGGCTCTGATTAGACGAAATAAAGAAACAGGAATTGACCCAGCTGCTTTCTAAAATTAAACAATCCAACAGGATTGAATGGGCGTGCGGACTGCCTCCAAGTGTTAGAGCGAGACTGGAGTCTCGCATTGTGTCAGATTCAATTTCGCGTTTTCCGATATTGCCACATTGCCACTCGCGATTCTCACAGGAACAAATTTTTTCCTTCAATTTTCACAGGGGTTCCTCCTCTCTAAAAACATTGTCGAAATAAAGAGATCAAAGCTATTTTGAAACAATCTTTAAATTTGTAAAAAGTGAAAGCATTATAGCTTTCCTTGTTTCGAGGAATAAGAAAAAGAATAAAAAAATATTCCATATTCAATAAGTAATCATGAGATTTAGAGGGGTGATTTCTTCGCAAACTCAACTATTGCACAAATTTCTTTGTTAAATCTTTGGGAGACTTGAGTTTCTGAATTGCTCTGTATCACTCCTTTATACTCATTCGACTCTTGATCCATACGGCCCCCCATCCTCATTTTATAGGGGACCAAACTTACTTGAATGACTTTCCAGGCGCTTCATAAGACGCACGCCACACACATCGCATCACGGTGGAGGCAAGGAAAACTGAAGCGCCTTCATTTTTCCAATAGGCAATATGGACACCCGAAGAGGATGTATAGTTGCATCCAGGCGCTTCCATTGAAGTTGCATCTCGCGTGACAGCTGCGACTATTTTTGCTTATTACTCTGGGGATATCGTCATAATCCAGACAAAACGACGTACATACATTCAAATGTTGCAAAATTTACACTCGTAAATCAAACTTTTACTAAGAGACTGTGGAGCATTCCTGAAAAAAAAAAATTACCAATTTTTTTCACCTAATTACACGAAAAAGAAACAAAATTTTGGACAGCAAACGCGGAGTCACATTATCAAGTTTTATAAAGATGAATTGATTGAGTTTCTTTTGCAACCTTGGAATGGCGTTAAATATTCCTCAGTCTGAGAAACAGCAATTTTCTGTTTAATTTTCGTTCAAGGATAACTGTATACCCAACTGATTGCTAAATCAGAAAGAGACCAATAAGATCACAAATAAATTTTCTAAAGTCAAAATAAAAGGAATTATCAATCGGGACTGAATTGACTATGACAGTGCCTCGTACCTATAGATCAAAAGTATTTTCGCATCGAAATTTTCGCAATTGCATGAGCAACGATACATGGTAATTGTTCGTGCCAGCTCGAGAGAACAATCTCAGAGATTTTCGCAGATCTTAATATAACTCTATGGACTCACTCATGGGTCGTGGCTTACGTTATTCGTAATTTAAATGGTTCAAAAAGGGTCAAGATATTTGCGCATTACACTACAAAGATTTCCGGATGCCCCTGTATCAAGATCACCGCGGTTGCAATTAAACAACCTATGTATCTGTGGAAAATGTTTGCCGTGCTACCATTTAATCCATTATCCTATTATTTGGCAATGTTTCTCAATGTCTGGTCCGTTCATGCAAACTCATGATGAACCACATAAGAGATGCCGAGACGGCAAAATGTAAGAATCTTTTCGGAGACTTAAACGCAGCGTCAGAAAAGAAGGCGTAGCGACAAATGCGAGTTACTCGACGCATTCAGCCATTTTTATTTGAAAAAAACATGCTCGATTGGGGAGCATAAATTGTTACTCCCGGGGCAAAAAGTGATTCGGGTACACATTCATGAAGATGAAAATAGAACGTTTATGATGAAGGTGACGTTTTGTAAAGAGGTATCATGACAGGAGCTGACAGGAGCTGGATTTATTACTGATGGCCTTGAGCCAAACGGACCAGCTCTCAATAAAAGCGGTAAAATGTGGTGCTGCCAACAGAATGAAAAAGAGGCGGAAATCTTGCGCTAAAATGTGAATTCAAACAATTATCTCATCGTTTGCCTTGCTCACCTGTGGGATAGACATCAATACTTTTTAGCAAACTATAGAGGCTCAATTTCTGTCGTTATTTTAAATGACTCTTGTATGCTTGATACAGGGCATTTTCAATATGTTTCAAAGATGAGTGGCAAAATCTCGTATGTCTTTTCAAGAGGAGTACTTCTTCAAAATCCATTCCAATTATTTTTTATTTTTTTATTTTATTTTAATTTTTTTTCACTTGAGATGGACGGTAACCGATAGCTCCTCTCTGACGAACATCCAACGCTGCGATGCAACATACCTTATCTGCACTTGAAGCAGGCATTCCTCTGTTCAGGATACGATTTGAAGGTTTCGACTGGGCTACAGGGCCCTGCATGCCAAAGGGGTTAAAAAACCACATTAGAGAACAATATTGACCAACCTCTGGAATACACTGATGAGTGTTTGTAGATAAGCGTTTTATTGCATGAAGGAAACAAAGTCCACTCGGCCTGAATCCCTTAGAGTTTGAAATCAGAGAGCTTGGCCTTGGATGTGTACAAACCGCCACCCCATGCCCGAGCAAGGTCATAACATCTTTAGGGAATTAAAAACCTAAAATAATTTTTTTAAACCAATTTTTCTCCACTGGTTCCACTTGAATGGCACTCCTGGGTCTATGAGATAGGTAAAATCAATGTGAAGAAACGAGATCTATACTGCCACTCTAAGGAAGAACACCGTATGAACATTCGAGAGCTGCCAAATCTCCCCAAATAAAACCTGTATTTTTTAAGAAAGTTGTGCATTTGTTACTTTGAAACTTTCAGATATTTTAGATCAAATTGCAAACAAAACTGTCCGAAAAATTGGAGGAAAAATGTTCAGGATTTTCCTAGAAAATTCGTTTTTTATCGAAGAAAACATGGCAACGCCTGAATGCTCATACGGCGTTTCTCCTTAGCCCGGCACACAGTGGATCGATTCCATTATAGAAGTCGGACATGAAATTTTCGACAAAATCTGCGAATTTTGGTGTTTATCCCGTCACAATTTACATTTCAAGGGGTGCTTTGAGTAGAATATTTTACGAGGAAACCATTGGAACCACTTTCAGAACCTTGAAATTTTGTATGAACGGAGTTATAAGCGTTTAAAGTTTCCAAATTCTGTCCGACTTCTCCTATTCGTCGCCTCCTGGACGAAGGAACGTAACTCCATTCCAAGGTTGCTACATTGACTCAAACAATTTATTTATTTGACCAAAATGTACGTGTCCGATTTTCATCCAGAAGTTTTCTGATTTTTTCATGAAATGTGGTGAAAAATCAGTAAAATTATCAGTTGAAAATGCCCGAGATTCTCCTCTTTAGTATGCAATAAACGACGGGAAATTTGGCAACATTCAAATAAAGTTACGTTCTTTTACGAGGGAAACGGCGTATTGACTCGATCCACCGTGCGGCAGTATAACTGTGGTGGTGAAAATTTGGAAGTAATTATCGTGTACGAAAATACTCATTGTGTTTAAGGACTATTACGTAGCCGCGAGAATAATATACAAACATAAGCTACTGGCTCTTTCGTCCCCTGCCGGCCTCTTGTTCATTTCCTCTTGCCCCCACTTTCCCGACCGAGTCCTCTCCAAGGCGCGCGGAACAATAGACGGCTGGGCGTCTGCCGCGACTCCAGCGCTCCCAAACCGCCGCGGAAAACCAGGCGATATCGGCCTTGAATGGTGAAATTCGGCAACTCTGCGCGGAGTGGAGGGAGGAAACCCCAGCAGGGCGGACGGGGGGTCGGAAAGAAAGTCTTTCTCCTCGCGAGTGCAGCTCCTTTTCCACTTTTACTCGTTTTTGTCTATGGCCAGGATATAATTTTGCAGATTCGTTTCCTTCCACTCTGTCAGTTCGTTCCTGAAGCTCGCGCCGAACGAGTCCGTCGGGTGCCCCTCGTCCACGTTCCTCGCCTTGGATTAATTCTCTCGGTTTTTGGTTTCGTTCGCGGTGCCCGACCGTTGGAGTTTGTAACGCTAGTGCTGTTTATCCGTTTTCAAGTGCTGTGATTTAAAAGTGCGGAGCTTTGGTAAGTTTTGCACGTTTTTTCACTGTACTTAAGTTTTGCGCAGCATTGGTGTCTTTTGGATACGGCAGGTGCCTAGATGTGCCACTGATGAACCGTTGGGAATACAAGTCGTGTAAATCAATCAAAATATTGTCCACGGAAAAAATAAAATTGCTGAATCAACAATTTTGTAGTTTAAAAAAAGTGTCCGACATGTTTCTATGTAGATTTTACAATTATGAAATGATAATTTAATCACCCCTGAGGTTAAATTAGCTTTCCACTCTTGTAAAATGTGCATTTGAGACATGATGGATATATTTTTTAACAATTTAATTGTTAAATCAGCAATACATTTTTTTCCGTGTAGGATTATCATCAACATGTTTCCCCCTTTCTTTGTTTATTTTTCTTTTGTTTTGCGAAAAATCCCATGTAGTAGAGTTTTCAAAAATAAAAAAGTTAATGATACACCGGTACATGACAATTAAGCAGCTATTAAAGATTCAAAAAGTTGGTAATGAAAATAGTCAAGAATATTTGACAAAAATTTCGATCTCAGCAATAAATTTCAATTCAATTGCTAAGTCGTGTTCAAAAATCGAGCATGCCTTTTTATAGCAAGTTTGTATTTCGCTTGTAGATTAAAATTGCTATTTAGTAGAATTTCACAGCAATAAATAGACAATAAGGTGATTATAAATAGCTTATATATCACTATTAATTTTGAAATTCTACTATATAGGACCTGATCGTGTAATTTTGAAACATTTCATTAAATGTATTTTAATCTCCGGGAAAAATCATTGAAGATACAAAACACGCGACGCTCGTAGTATTTCTCGTTAAAAAAAAGAAGATAACAAAATCACATTTGGATTCTAGTTTCCCCTAGTTTTAATTGAGTAATCCGATGTTTAATTTCAATGATTTAAATAAAAAATTTTGAAGAAAATCTGTCAATAACAATATCTATATTATTTGATAATTGTTTGCAATTGACTGTTCATTCAGTAAAACAGTGGAAAGATAACAATTCCGTCGAAATGATTATTCAAATCCCTCCAAAACCTCTGCTAAGGATGTCTGGCATTAAAAATCCTTTAACTTAATTCCTGTGTCAACAAAGATAAGGTAAATAACAAGGGTATGAGGGCAAAAAAAAATTTCGATGTAACCAACGTTGTTGCAAGTACCTCGCATTTGCATTGGACCAACAAACACAATAAGATTTAAAATAACATAAGCTTTTAACATTTCTCGGAACAAAGACACTGGGAATTGCAAAAATGAAGTCATGAGTGTGAGGTCCGAAATGTCCATTAAAATTAGGCAATTAACATTTTTCACCCGTAAAAAATCAGGGAAAAAATAGCTGGACCAAATCGGCTTTAGGGAACGAAATTACCCGTTAGGTAAATAACTGAAGTTTGATTTTATAAATTTCCTCCTCTCTTACACTCAAAGCTTGTAATTTTTTCTGAAAAAAAAAACCACCCTTGGAACGATTCTCCATCATGCAATCCTCGAGAATTGCTTTAAATAAATCAGTTGTTCACGAAAGGGAACAATTCAATTTTTGCATGAACCTTGGCTTTTGTTAAAGGACATGCTAACTAAGACTCGTCGAGGAATGCTGCCATGCTAAGGAAAAACGCCGTATGAACCTTCAGGTTGCCAAATTGCCTTCGATAAAAACAAATTTCCCGGTAAACTTTTGACTATTTTTTTTCCAATTTTTCAGATACTTTTGATCGCAATTTCACCTAAAGTTCCTGAAAATGTCAAGTAAAAATATTCATAACTTGCCTCAAAAATGAACATTTTATCGAAGGAAATGTGGCAACTCTCAAATGTTCGTACGGTGTTCTTCCTTAGCACGGCAGAGTGGGTCTATTCCCTTTTGAAAACAACTGATTCAAATACTATTTGACTCGAGTGAAATCTGGCTTTTTGGCGAGAAATAGATTTCTATTTACGAACACCTAGGAAACTCGCATTTTTTCACTTGTGAGCTGAATTTGGGAATTTTTGTGTGAATTTTTGGGAAAAATTGTGTGAATCTTACTCCACGTAAAATTTTGCAGCGAAAAAATAGAACTTGAAGATATTATCAAAATGATATCGTGAATATGCCACAAGTTTGAAAAAAGTTTACTGCCAATCCCAATAACTTTTCCTGCAGGGAATTCATTCTTGATGCAAATTATGACACAGCTTTTTTTTAGAGGGATTTGGTTACAAACTGAGTAAGAGTGCAATAAATCTGATGGGAATAAAATATCTTCGAATGAAATTCATAAAACTCCTAATACAAATGTCACAACTTGTTTATTAATTTTAGCGTTATTAGTTTACAAGGAATAGGGCAGTACACTTAAGTTTTTAAAGCAACTACGCACATTTTGGTCAAACGAGTAATTTTTTAATTGAAAAAAATTCGATTTTTCATGTTGCTGGAATATCAAAGAAATCGCCAACCTTCGGTAGCTAATATTTTTTCTCGATTATGCCCGGACAAGAAGTAATAAATTTGAATTTTATTGTCACCTCTTCGATGAAAGAGTTGACCTTGTCTTGGATTTTAGGAGGTTGAAACATAATGAAACTTGCCATCTTGAAGAAATGAAAGAATCACCTTTCGGTTCTCCGCATTTTCTTACAATGTGAATTCTTTTTGAGGAATCTCCAGCACGATGTGAGAATTTGTCTGATTGTGAGTGTAAAATAGCATGTAAAAGTGCAATGGAGACAAACGTGGTTTTAAAGCTTGGTATTTTTTCTAATATTAGCAGGAATGATATCTTGCAGTACAATTCTTAAAATTTCTCTAACTGAATCTTTAGATTGAGCTTTTTCATAAAAAAAATAAGACTAATGCAGCCTAGAGGGTTCACAAATGCTCTAGGAAACTTTTCAATAAATTAAGGAGAGTGAGGACAAGATCTTCAATTTATGCTCCAATCTTTAGATTAAAAATGCACTGAAATAAACTAAGAATGGTGTTCTCTTAATCCCATAGAACGGCCCAGTGTGAAAGGTTGCTCCTAGAGACTTAAACGAAAGAGTAGAAAAGTTAACGAATCCAGGGATCAAAGGCTTCGGCGAAAGTAGAGCGCTGAAGATGGGAACAGAGAAGGGTTAATCTCAGAGACTTAAACGCAGAAGTAGAAAAGTCAACAATGGCAGGGAGCATTGGCACCGGAGAATGTAGAAAGCCTGGAGCGGGATAGAAACTCATGGAAAAGTTCCAGCCTAGGTAACGTTTTCGATGACTCTCTAAGAAGTTAGTAGCTTAAGCTACTGAATATATTGCGTGGTATCTGATGCTCCCACGTCAATGATCTCCAAGATGAAAATCAGAATCACGCGAATTCTGTGTTTCTCATTTTTAAGTGGATGGAAGCAACGAACCTTACGAATTCAAGCCAATAAAGTTATTCAATTGCAGCACAGATTCTAAATCTAACACTTCCTTCCATCTAGTATGCCAGTCTGAAATATGTTTTCCGACTTCGTGTTGAACAGAATACACAAATGCCAGATTTCTAGAGATTATTCCAACATAAATTTTTGCGGAATTTTCAAGCATTTTTGGAGCAAGCTGACATCGGTGTTGGCTCGTCGGGAGGAACTTGAAAAACAATTCCAAGTTTTGACTCCCCAAGTTTCTAAGCCATTCACAGTATCATACACCTCACTCTCATTAGACCGATAAGTCACGCCTTTCTTCTAAATGTCATTAATACACACTTTAACAAAATTCAAGAAACTTGTTTTCCTTACTTTATTTTGCGAATGCCGCAACAACAACGTTTTTCGTGCTAAAACAATACGATTAAAATAAGGCCAATTTTTAAAAAAAAAAAATCAGCCAAATAGGAGAGACATTTTATTTTATTAAAGGATCAAAAAAAGACGCTCACAAGAGTTGCAATTACTCAGCATATTAATGATGATTAATGCAACTAAAAAATACTCTATCCTTAACTTTTGCGAATTTCGTGTTACACTCTACTAACTTGACTGACAGTATTTATCAACCGATATCAGCGCTGCTGAATGGATATTCGGGTGATTGTTTCCTTTTTTAAGAATCTCCTTGGAAAATTTCATGCAGATATCATCATTAATATAAACTTCGAAGGATTCTACCTTTCAGTCGATTCCACCTTTTTCTATTTCACTCTAGGGGTTGCCAGATTGTGCGATAAATATGGATATTTTACATGGGTTTGAACCGGAAAAAGTGCTGAATAAACAACTTATCTGGCTTCAGTTGGGTCTGGGAGGGACGAGAGGCTGTCTTCCTGGGAAAACCCATGATTTAGCCGAAAATGTCATTAAAACAAATTGGGCCTTTTAGAACGGTCCTAGCCTTTTTAGGGCCTAAAAGTATTATGACCTAACCTCAAAATTACCGACATGTCCGTACTCCAACTGTATACGCACTCTACTTTTGACTGCTGACTCCACAAGCTTCCTCTTCGCCGCATGACAACGCAGCTCACGATAACTTACCTAACTGTAGCGGATTTGTTTATTCTCTCGGAAAACCCTGTCACTTTCTCGCAGTTTCACCGATTTTTCTTCCTCGGAATTATTGATGCCGGAATCACTTCCTATTTTTCATTGTCTGACACCAAGCCGCCGACGCTCACCCGCCACGTAATTTTGATGCATGCATCGATGATCATTCATGCGTGACCGGTGGTCAACATGCTCCGATTAACTCCAGCCAGCGAGACGGTGAATTCGCTTCACGTTCCCCGTCCTAAATGTGCGCTAACGCGGCAGCAGTGTGCGGCCGGAACTACATCGCTGATTAACTAACATAGTTACGCGGCTGGCACAGCATTGATAGACGTTGAAGATGCAAAACATTTTTCGAAATACTTTTTCTTTTTTTTTTGCCTCTATCTTTCTTTCCTTTTTCGTTCTTGATTTTCTCAACTAGAAATACTGGGGAAAAAAACATTGGATCTAGAGTCCAGACTCTTAAAAACATCGACAAGAAAAAG